CCTGCCTGCCTGATCGCCCCTAACAGCCCTGCCCCTGCCAGCCTGATTGCGGCTAACTGCTTCTACCTTGGCCTCGCCAAAATGGCTTTCTACAGAAGGATGTCCAGAATATGTCCGGTCTAATTAGCATATTAGCCTTTTATTAGTATAGATAATTTGCTGGAAACTAAGAGGTATGTCTACATTAATATGCATCCATTATTTATTCATGCTCATAAAAGCATTTTAAGAAATTTCTCTAAGTTCTCCTTCAATTACCTTTTGATTTAACCACAGTCCACCATCTAAAAGAGTTTATCCTGGGAAAACCTCTGTCTTATCACAATTTCTGGGCATACATACAGTAATAAATAAAAAGATATTCCAGACCTTTTTAAAATGTTTCCTACAATTTTAACCACAAAGAGAGGAATTCTTCTCCATCCCTGACAAACCGTAGCATTACTCTGTTGAGTGATTTTTGTGGGGGTCTTTAAAGCTGAATATAAGCAAAACATGTCTAGATTGTTATACTTAATTTGGGGACCCATGATATAAGAAAAAAATCTGAAGTATATTTGGAGGAATATCCAATAATTAGTTAAAAACTTGTAAAATGAAAACAAAGAGTTTAAAAGGTATAATGTTAAGAGAAACAATGTAAAATTATGAGGTGTTACAGTGGATTAGTTCACTTGAAAAGTTGAAACATGCATTCCTGTACTACAGAGGTAGGAAAGTTAAACACTATTATTTCCCAGCCTCCCTTGCAGCTAGGATTCCAGGTATGATTGGTCCAGCAATCAGATGCACTCACTTGACACTTTCACTTGGAGCCGAGTTGGCCAACACAAAGCGTGGCAGCAGTGGTGTGATTCTGGAGCTGGCAACTGTTCATGTCTTTCTAATCCAGCAGGCAGCTTCCCAAAGTGGCAGGCAGCTTCTTGATTATTCCAAAAGCAGCAGCTTCTTTGGCAGCCCTCTCTTGTGATGTAGTTCCTAGAAGCTCAGCCTAGGTTCTGTTTCTTCAGCCCTCTCAAAAATTCTGTGAGCTATCTATTTCCCATAATCAATCCCATTCGGTTTAGTAGCTAAAGAAGATTCTATGACCTACAGCCATGAATCTTGACCTATACAGAATCTGATAGCTAGAAGTGAGGTGCAGCAGCAAAAGGATCTCAAATATGAAGTGGGCTGAGTTGAGGAGGTAGGGCTTTAGGCCATGAGCCCTCATGCCAACTGAAGTAAGGGTATCAAAGGAAGTGTGGTAGAACTTCAGAGTGCCAGCATGTGGGGCTGCCTCTGCCTCTTTCAGCAAAATCCTACAAGACAAATACCACTCGGGCTAAGGTTTACAAGTCTACAGAGATGGAAAGGTATATATATAGCTTTGCTTAGGGAATTGTTCTGTCTAAAAAAAAAATTGACAAAAGTCCCAAATCTGGAGCCTTGAAGAATCAAAAAAGTCAACTACTACCACACTCCATAAGTAAAGGTTCTGAGAAAGCGGTTAAAATGTCCTTAACCTTTTTCAAGAATCTTCCCTTAAGAATTTTCTGCCAAGTAATGGGAGCCACCCTGAGGAAAAAGGTCAGATAAATACTGTTGTCATCCCATCCAAGCCATTCATTTAAGACCCCAAGGGAAAGAAAGAACACAGATCAGCAAGTGAAGATGGGTTCTCTGATAAAAACTATGCCCTGGCAAGATCTTTCTTGTTACTCATGATAATAATCAAAGAAAACAGACCAGAAACTTACTAAGTTTTTAGGGAATTGTTTTGTCAAACAAACAAACAAACTCTAAATAAATAAAAACCCTAAACCTGGCCTGCAATAGCCTGTAACTGTCTAAACAATCCCCGAGCCCCCAAACCCAAAATAATAGGAAACGAAGTGCTAAGACTATCCAGCCTCCAAGAAGAGCATCCTTTCTGATGTGTACCTAAAGAGTAACAGACAACAAAGACTTCCCAGAGGGCAACACCAAGAGCCCCTGAGGACATTAGACAAGGGAGTTACTCCCAGAAAGGTGACTCAGCAGTTGCCTGATGGGAAAACCAAGGAATATATTTATGGACAGAGCAGAGAGACCTTGCTATGGATCAGCAACTGCTAGTTTTCCATTTACCCCTGTTTCAAAAAGATTGATTTTATGTAGTTATCCTGTACCTATCCCACCTTTATGCATATGGTACCCATGGCTCAGTAGTTGAGCATCGACCTATGAACCAGGAGGTCAATGTTTGATTCCAGGTCGGGGCACATGCCCCGGTTGCAAGCTCAATCCCCAGTAGGGGACGTGCAGGAGGCAATCAATGATTCTCTTTCATCATTGATGTTTCTATCTCTCTACCTATCCCTTCTTCTCTGAAATCAATAAATATATATATATATATATTTTAAAGTTGCCTAACAAACATTACCTCTTCCCACCTTCCTTAATTAAAGTATCCTAACATTTATTTGTTTGTTTGTTTTGGTTAATCATCATCCAAGGATAGTTTTCCATTGATGTTTAGGGAGAGAGGGAAAGACAGATGGAAACATTGATGTGAGAGAAACACATCAATTGGTTGCCTCCTGCAGGAGCCCTGACCAGGGCCCAAGCCATGGAGGAACCTGCAACTGAGGTACGTGCCCTTGACTGGAATTGAACCCGGGACCCTTTGGTCTACAGGCTGACATTCTATCCACTGAGCCAAACCAGCTAGGACAAGTATCCTAACATTTAGCTGGTCACATTGCCACAAAGATGTCTCAGTTTCCTTAGCAACTAGATGGCCATGTAACTCAGTTTGGGCCAATGAAATGTAAGTTCAAATGTTGTGTGGTTCTCTAGGAAAATTGCTTCAAGGGAGCTGAGAAAGTTCCTCAAGTGGCAAAAGATCTTTTCTTGCCCTTCCCACCTGCCTCCAGAAGCAATCTTGGATGGTAAGGATGAAGCAGCTTGAAGATAAAAGCAATGTACTGAGGATAGAACAGAAAGATAGGAATCTGGACACCACCTGCCTACAGATTTATATAAAAAGGAAAAACTCCTATTTAGTTTAAATCACTGTTATCTTTGTTTTTTGGTTATATGTAGCAAATCTGATCTGAAATGATAGAGTATAAAGCAAAAGTATGAATGAAAAACGACCTCAAGTAGTAGCAAAAACTATTCAGTAGAAGAATTTCTAGCAGTTAAGGGTGCTGAAAGTAGGAAGAAGTTATCAAGAAACAGGGAATATATGGTCTTCTCAGGAGAAGTATTATGAGTATCAAAGAGACTTTTATTGAGAGAGGGGATGATAAGCACCCATAGAAGAATATCTATCTTCATGAGTAAGTGAGAACAATTTATTTAAAAAGTAACAAACAGAGCTTTCTCACTTATGTGGTTACTGAGAGTTTCATTAAATTATGGCCTAAGGCAGTTTCTCAACCTGTGGGTCGCGACCCCTTTGGTGGTACCCTTTCACAGGGGTCGCCTAAGACCATCCTGCATATCAGATATTTACATTACAATTCATAACAGTAGCAACATTACAGTTATGAAGTAGTAACGAAAATAATTTTATGGTTGGGTCACAACATGAGGAACTGTATTTAAAGGGCCAGAAGGTTGAGAACCACTGGCCTAAGGCTACTTGATTAAATCACTAAAGAAGACCAAAGAAAAAAGAGGGGAGGTATGAAAGTGAGAGCAGATATTGAGGTTTTCTTCCTAGTTCTGGTGAACTTCAATCTTTAAATATCGGTGTCAAAAAAAAGTGTTCTTATTTAAAAAGTATCTTCCTTTATTCCATTTATGTCTTAAAATATTTGAGTAGAGAAAAGGGAAGGGAAGTAAAAAGATGACACAGATGTTGATTTTACAGTTTTCTTCCAAGTTCTGGTGGACTTCAGACTTCAAATGACTGTTCAAAGAAAAATATATATACTCTCATTTTAAAGGAATCTCCTTTTATACATAATATTTATTTATTAAATACACTTATATAATCCTAGATTAAAATTAAAAACATATGTTTGACAGATGAAATTCAGGATCTCAGAAACACACACAGTGGATCATTTATTATACTTCGAAAAGATACTATGGCCGATGCTGAAAACCTAAGTGAAATCTGGGTGTTTGACCTCTTGTCTTCACATTTTGGGCAATGAGGCAGCATGCTGGCTTTGGGGGGTGGGGGTGTTTGTATAAAGAATAAGGGTCTGCTACATAAATCTTCCATATA